ATTAGGAAAAGGAGCTAGAGCTTGCCAACAGCAATTTAATGTTTTAGTCAGAAAGCAAGGGTTGGATTCTAATGATTTCAACAGCGTCAGGCCATTTTGGACCTTGGAAGAGAAGCGCGAATTGACTGAGTTAGTCAATTTGCATGGAAGGAAGTGGAAGGAGATTGAGAAACTAATTAGCAGCAACAGAGATGCTCATTCTTGTCAACGCCAGTTTATGCTATTAGAAAGTAGACAGAATGATCCAATTGAAAAGAAGGTGAACGATATCTTTCAAGCAACGATTTCAGAGACAGATTTGAATGATATCTCTCTTTACGAATTCTTCAATATCCCAACAAGTAGATACAATGGGGTTCCAGCATCAACTTTGTTGGTGGATCAAGCAGATGAAGTTGATGAAGAAACATTTCATCGTTCTTACATGGCTGGAGATACTGAATTTAGTGTACGTGAGGTTGCAACTGGTAGATTGGTCAAAAAAACCATTGAGGAGATTTATCTTTCCAGTGGAACATATGAAACATATAGTATTGAATCTGGATTTAATGTGGAAGAAATTGGTAAGTTTCATTTCAATTACAATTTTCAAAGAATAATAATAATGACAGAATGTAAATTGTTTCCAGCAAATGAAGTATTAGAGTTGAGTGCTACTTGTTTCAAAGCAAAATTACATTTCAATGAATGTGCTCGAATTGTTGAAGAGAAACGTTTCGTCTATGCCAATGAAGTTCAAGTCCGTCCAGATGAGTACTGTAGTGTGAGATTACCTGTATCAGATATTCAAGACAATATGTTCATTATTAATAACTATCAATTGAAATCTAAGGAAAAGCTAGTAAGAACATCATTACCATGTGGTCAACTTACTGACACCACCCAAACAAAAGAATGTAAGTATTTTATGAATTATTCTCATAATATTTTAAAGATTTTGACATTTTGTTCAGAACTTTCCCAACTCTGGTTGACTCCAAAGACAAACAGGGAGTAATGGTTCAATTATTGGGAGCCTATTTAGCAGATGGTGATGGAGGATACTTTAAATTGTATTTTAATGCCAAAAATGAGCAAGAACTAACCTATTATTTTACAGATTTCTTAAAAGAAATTTGTGAATTGAATTCAGAGACAATAAGAGAGGATCTTAAATTCAAGAAAGAGGAAGAGTATGTCACCATTAAGCTCAATGATAAGAATGCTGACAAGGATATTGAACGAGTCTTACAAAATGGTTATCAAATATCCGGGTCCATACTTGTTGCACCTGCATGGTATGTTTTTCACTTTCAATACATTTTTACTAGTAACAAATAGTACTGGCTTACACAGATTTTTAAAAGCAATAGAATTGTTATGTAATAAGTATAATGGCAGTTACAAAACTAGAAAGAATTTCTCCTCCATCTTCAACATTACCAATTTCGGTATGTTTAGCTTGTACAAATTTTTTGAAGGTTCTGTACAAGGAGATGGCACATTAGAGAGTAATCGTATTACGTTTGGTCAGAATTGTTCAATTTCAGATACTCACCAACAGTACTTTAATCAGGTCCACCATTGTGCAACCATGCTTGGGTTAAAGACTGGCGTGGGTAAAGTGTGTGAAGAAACTACAGGTTTGAAAATGACTGGTAAGAACATGACCATTTTTGAAAGTGAAGGACTTGAGAAAAAGAAAGTAAATGCAGATGTTGTGTTTAAAGCATTTAACCTTACAGTTCAAAGATTAACAGGTGAATCAATGAAGAAGATGTACTGTTTCAAGAAGAGTAATCACTCCTTCCCAATGTTTAACGGAATGATAGTGCAAAATGTTGATACTGATCTAGTTTCTGCTAAAATAGGTTATGGGAATAGATGGGAAATTCGTGAAATGGACAACCATCAATCCGCTGCCACTTTCTGCTTGAAGAAATACATTGCTTCTTTAGGGTTTCCAAGTGACCGTATGACAATAAGAAATGCTGTTAAGACACTACTTCTAAAAATTGAAGGAATAGTATCTGTTAAAAGAAAGCAAAAGTCAAACAAGGAATCAAATAAGAAAGTTAAAACACAATAACCTTTATTTAAAGACATATTTACTGGATTTTATTAAATGACTTTATGAGGTGGGTTTATAATTGATTTTACAAGTGTTTAACAAAATATTTGAGACGACTGCAAGAACTCTTGGATTTGCCATTTATAGTCTCTGTGTGAATCCAAAAGTTCAACAAGAACTCCACGATTTTTTGGATAACTTTGAGAAAGTGAATGGAAAGGAAACATTTGATTATGAAGATTTCCAAAGTGGAAAATTGGATTACATCAAGGCACTTTTTAAGGAAACTTTGAGATTGTATCCTGTTGCGATTGGAATTATTAGACAATTGACAAAGAGTGTTGACTTTAAGGGGTTGAATATTCCAAAGGGAACTCTTTGTTTATACAGTTGGGTTACTGCAATGAGAAGTGAAAAGTATTGGGATAACCCTGATGAATTCCGTCCTTCAAGATTTTTAAATGAGGAAAAGGAGCTTATCAATCCACAAACTAATCCTTTCGTTTATACACCATTTGGAATTGGAGGACGTATTTGCAGTAAGTTTTAGCATTATTTCAACACAAATTAATGTGGATTAAATAGTTGGAAAGCATTTTGCTGAAGTTGAAGGTGTTTTGGCATTGGCAAGATTGGCTAAACACTTTTCATTCAAACTCTCCAATCCAAATTACAAGATGAAAGTTGATATCAGAGTCACTCTCAGACCTGAAGAAACTCTTCTTATTGATTTCATTCCAAGAAAATAAATCACGTTACCAATACGTTAAATCATCATCATTGCCTTCATAAACAGGGATGCTATTATGGTCAAAACCTTTACGCCAATCATCAATGTCATGCAAACGCAGCAACTTTAGAATACGTTCAATCATTGCACGTATTTTCAAAGGATAACCTAGAGTTGAAATATCCTCAAGTGTTTCCATAATGATATCCACATTGTCTGATATTGTTTCAAATTCTCTATCTAGAATAATTTCTAATAAGTTTAAATAATTCAAAACAACAATTTCAGGAACTTTTCCTTTCCCATCCACTTGGTCAAACATGAAAGCAGGACATGCATTCAAATGTATTGCTAGCCCCACAGTATCAGAATAAAAGTGAGCTACCTTATAAATAAAACAATTAATCTCATAATTCTTAAAGAATTGGGAAATAGACAATTTCTGATTAATCAAACGGTCTATTTCTTCTTGTGATATCAATAAAGAACCTGTCTCAACAAAATTCTTATTCAGTAAATCAGCTAGAACACAGTGTAGACTGGTATCAGAAGTGCATAAAAGAAGTTTTACCAATTCAGTACCAGAACCAGTTATTCCCATGATTATTGTGATAATTTCTGTTGGAATTGAAATTTCATTGGTGAGGCAAAAGTTGACCAAATCATTTAGAGGAAGATTTAAAATTACAGTACGAATTTCAGTGTCTAAATCAACAATTTGGGGTATTGCTCGTAGTGTTATTTCCACTCTCTCTTTGTCATTATTGATTGAAATACGCAATATTTCAACAATCTTGTGGAAAAAATTTAGATATTGTTCATTGTAATCATGCAAATATTTAAAGCAATTGAATGCAGATGTGGCTAGTTCAATAAGATTATTAGTAAGGACAGGAGCATTCATTAAAGCATTTAGAATTTGCTTTGAACAAAGGGGAGCATCAATCATACAAGTTGTTCGAACTAATAGTTTGGAACACCATTTGTATGCTTCCTCTCTGATAGATTCTTTCCTGTGTTCAAACAATTCTGTCAATACTACTATCAATTCTATTGAGTTTGATGCGACTGTTGCTGACGAGATATTAGGTGCTACATGAAGCATTTCCAAACTCTCTTGTACAATCTCTTCGTCTCTGCTTTGTAAAAGACTCAAATGTAAATATTTGAATTGCTCAGTTATTTCTGAACCAAATTGTTTGAATCCATAAAAAACCTTGCAAAGGTAAAATATTTTTAGTATTCTCTCCTTTCTGATAGATTCAGAGCTGAGATTTCTGGAGCTCTCATTTACAATCATTTGCATATCATAGTTCAGCTCGTGTTTAAATGTCTCCATAAGCGTATTATGCTCAGGCATACCAAGTTCTTGCAATAATTTTGGAAGAATTTTCAATTTAGTATTATAACATTGGAAATGTTGGTAAACCACTTTAGCCAAATTAGCTTTAAACAGATTCGAAAACTTGTCAATTGGAATAGTGAATAATTCATTCAATAGTTTGTAATCCATATCAGTCATCTCAATAAATCTTTCCTCCCAAGCTCTTATATTATAATATTGAATAAGAAACAAATAGAATCCAATCCACTCATTCAAGAAATAACGGTGTATCATTTGTGCCAATACGACAAGAATACCAACTTTCCAGTCAGGTATCTTGGTCGATTGATTAAACACAACTCTGACAAGTTGTTGAGTATTAACTTGTCTTTTCAAATCCAAACACTCTCCAACAGATTCATCAAGACAATAAAAGAAATGCTTGAAAAATCCAGTTATCAAACTACTCTGAGCCATCCCTGTTCTAAAGACATCAATAGCCAATCTCAACAATTTGAAATTTCTAATCATTTCATCATCATTCTCTTCAATTGTAAATTGTTTAACAAATTCAACATTGGCAATGGAATTTAAAGAGTCTAACCATGGTGGTATTATTATTAATTTCTTATCTTCAAAATTACTCGTGCTTTGATTCTTATTCATCATGATCAAATAAATCGATTGCAATTCTCCCGAAATAGTATGCCAATCATCATTAGCACCCGGAGAAGAGTTACTACAAGTTAAATTAATTAATACACGATCATTCTCATCAGTTTCATCCATGATCAGGTAATTTAGTAAATATTGTTTGAATTGGGAGAATAATTCTTCGATCGGAATGGTTGCAGAATTTATATTCATTCGATAAACTAGCTTTCATAGTATGAATATTAAAGGGGTCATTCTCTTCATCATCCGTTTTACCATTTGGCGCGTACCAATTCTTCATTTTTTTTGATTTTTGATTTCCAGTATTTGCTGGAGGAAGATTTATTTTTAAAAGTTTACAATAATTACATTTTGTAAAGTCAGTTGAAAAATTGTTACTTTTTTATCTAAAGTAAGGATCATTCAAAATGTCCTGAGCTTGAGGTCTGGTTACACTATCCTTAGAAAGCATTGATAAAACAATATTGATTACCTTATCAGAATATAACTCTGCTTCCTTCATCTTTTTTCTAAGAATTTGAGTTACAGTTTCTTGATCCTTTGAAACGTAGAGTTGACTAATAGATGTCACTGTATCCTTTGTCATTATCTGATACAGAGTTACTCCCAACGAGTAAACATCTGTATTGTGGTAATATTTTCCACCAAATCCCAATTCTGGACTCATAAAAAGTGGAGTTCCAGCAAATGAATGCATCACTGAGGCCATATTTGACTTGGCCAATCCAAAATCTGCGATAATGAGGTGGATGCTATCATTCTCCAAACTCTTAATGAAAATATTTGATGGTTTGATATCTCTGTGAATGACATTCATGGTACAATGAATATAATCTAATGCCTTACATGTTTGATGAATTATTTCCTTCAATAGTTTTTCAGAACAATCAAAATCAATGTTGGTCAATCTCACCAAATCTCCCTTCTCATAAAAATCAGTGTCAATACACAACATTTGATCCTGTCCAATAAAAAACTCATTCACTTTCAGAATATTAGGATGATTGACGTTCATTAGTTGAGCTCCCTCTCTCATGAAATTGTTCAACTCATCAATGTTTGAATATTTGATTACCTTAATAGCTTTTGTGGTTTTGGTTTTCTCATCAAATGCCTTGAAAACATTGCCGAAACTTCCTTGGCCCACCTTCTCCAAGTTGGAATATCTAGAGAGTGGATTGAATGGCTCTTCCTTCTTACCAGTACTCGAAATACTCATTAAGGGTTGAAGAAATAAACTTCCCTCTGAGGGAAAATCTGGAATTGTAAAGGTTTCTAGCTCAGTGTTGGCCTTTGTTTGATAACCAGATTTTCCTGCTTTCGTCTGCTTTCTTTTGAAAAACACAACTGCAACAATGACCAAAACAATGACAACAATCAAGGCAATGAATATAATTGGAATGATAATAGCCAACACAATAACCAAAGTATTATCCTGCCCAATTGTCTTTTCACTCGTTGCTACCTGTCGACTAGTTCCAGGCGTTACCAAACTATTCTCACAATTGGAACCATAAAATCCATCCAGACACGAGCATGAATTTGGTGAAAGACATTTTCCTCTTCCAGAGCACACACCTGATTCATTCATTGGTTTTCCATTACAATCAAACTTTTCACAAATAGGTCCATAATAGGTTGAAGATCCTGATTCTATTGAACAAGCGCACTTGTCGTAGGATATGCATTTTCCTTTTCCAGAACATGCTTCTGAATCAAATTTACCAAAACAGGTTATGGCCAAAGGTAATAATTTTCTAATACTATTCCTATCAAATATTAACACTTCTCCATTGGAATTTACATTTACAGAGCTTGGTTCTGTAAGTTTTGTCAAAGTGGCCAATTGAGTTTCAGCGGTTAAACCAATGCTTCCACCTCCTGCAATTGTAGAAATTATTCCACTCGTTGATATTTTACGAACTTTGTTATTATTCGAATCTGCAATAAACACCTCACCACTTGGGGCAACAACAACTCCTTTCGGTGCATTTAGTTGACTTTCTGTTGCGAGTACGTTATCGATATATCCAGCAGCTCCTAATCCAGCAATTGTCGAAATTATTCCACTCTTGGAAACCTTTCGAATTCTATGATTGCTCAAATCTAATCAAATTATTATAAAAATAAATTAAACTTGACTTTCGAATATCACATACCTGCAATATAAACTTCTCCTTCACTATTAAGGGAAATTCCAATCGGATTCCACAAGTGGGCAGTGGTAGCAATCTTTCTATCTCCATTATATCCGAAATTATAAATCATTCCTGCCACAGTTGAAATGATACCTGTTGTGGATATCTTTCGTATTCTGTTTCCAGTAGCCATGAACATTTCTCCCAAGTTGGACATGGTCATGAATCTCACCTGTTCTAGATTTGAGTATTGTGCTGGTCCTCCATCTCCGTCTCCACCTGCAATTGTAGAAACTAGATTCTCAGTCGAAACCTTTCGAATTCTATCATATGCAACAAAATAGAGCTCTCCATTGAAGAATGAAAGACCAGATGGATGATAGAGGTCAGCATTGGTGGCAACTACATTTTCTCCATTGTAACCAAGAGTTCCTGTACCAGCAATGGTTGAAATTATGCCTTTCGAATCTATTTTTCTAATTCTAAGATTAGTTGTATCCGAAATGAATACTTCACCAGTTGTTGGACTAATTGCTATACCAGTAGGATTATTTAATTGACTTGTAACTGCTGGAATATTATCGCCATTGTAACCAAGAGTTCCAGTTCCTGCAATGGTCGAAATAATTCCATTCGAATCAATTTTACGAATCCTTGAACCCTCTGAAATGAAGAAAACTTCTCCATTGGAATTAATGGTCATCCCGTCAACTTTTATCTGTGCATTAATTGCTGGAATGTTATCTCCATTATATGCACAAGCTGCTCCAGTTCCAGCAAGAATTCCTGTCATGGTTCCATTAACAGCAGAAAATTTGACAATTCTGCAACCATATGCAATGTAGAGTTCGTTTGTTGATGGATTAATTTCCATATGTTCAGGATAAGAAACACTTATTAGAGTAGAAATAATTCCATTCGAATCTATTTTACGAATCTTCTGATTCGATGCATCCACAAAGAAGATTTCACCGCTTTGTGAATTGACGACAATGTCTTGTGGACTATAGAGTAGACTATTAATTGCCAATTGATTATCTCCACTAAATCCTGGATTACTGACACTACCTGCAATAACTGAAAGTTGACCATTTTTAGTAATTTTGGAAATGATATGTTGTAAAGAATCTGACACATATAAATCACCGGTTTTCTGATTGAATGATATGCCCTTTGGCATGAATTGTACTCCAAGTGCAGGTCGATTCTGTACAATAGTTCCTAATGAACCAGCAAAGTGATGCAAAGAAGAATTATTCGAATCCACTCTATATATGGTTGCATAATTGATTACCAAGTAGAGAGTATTATTGAAATAGGTAAAACACTCGATAGCTGAAGAAGTTTTGACTATTGTTCGGATCAAGCTCGTTCTCTTATCAATCATTCGAATTTTGTTTGATTCACTAAAATAAACGGAACTTTCAGTTTCGAATACCATATTTCTAACTGATGAATCTGATAAATAGGTAGCATTTCCAAACACCCCTTCAAACATACTATTAGCATCCACTCCTGCAAATGTCGTAATTATCCCACTACTGAGCTCCACTCTCCCAATTCTACTATTCGTCTGCATGGCAACATACAAATATCCATCACGAATCAAAAGACCAGCTGGAGAACCAATTGTTGCATTCACTGCAAGATTTCCCTCTCCACTGAAATTTGCAATATTTCCAGAATTTTCATTGGAACCAGCAAATGTTGAGACAACTCCTGTCAAAGATTGTCTATAGACCTTATAATCGGAATAGATGGAATAGAAGAAGCAGTCCAATTGAGAACTGTATTGAATAAAGCTGGAGAGATTTGGTGAGAGTTCTGAGCCAATTTTTGTGCTATTTCCACTATTCGAATCTAACTTGGTAATGACACCTGCAAAGTTGGCAAAGTAGTAATCCTTGCCATTTGAACTCTTTCCTAATGGATAGGTTTCGACTGTTGAGAGTGAGCCTGTTGTGAAATCCAACTTTCTAATCTTGTTATTCGATTGGTCATTGATATAGAGAGTACTATTCGTATAAAGCAAATGTGATGGATTTCCAAACTTGCCGTTAATAGCCAGTACATGATCCATAAAACCATTCTCCCCAGTTCCTGCCACAGTTGATATAATACCACTATTTGAAATCTTTCGTATTCTGTAATTGCCACTATCAGAAATGAAAATCTCATCATTTTCATTCACCGCAACACCTCGAGGATAATTTAACTTGGCTTTGTTTGCTAGAATGTTATCCCCATTGTAACCAGCATCTTGTGGAAATCCTGCAATGGTTGTGGTGATTCCATCTTTTGCTATCTTTCGAATAACTTGGAGTTGTGCATCGACCACATACATGTCTCCTCTGGAGTTGAAAGCTATTGCTGTTGGGTTGTAGAGATTGATTTTATCAGCTGGCAAACCATCTCCATATTGATTACCACCACCTACTAGTAATGAAATGTTATACGAAACTTCAACTGCAGCAACTGTTTGTGTCAGAAGAAGTAAGACGAAACCTAGTGAGCATATCCACATGATAAGACGATGATCCATTTTTTTAAGATTCTTGAGGAAGAAACTTTATCCGAATTGTGAAATTTATTGGTCAACTGGGCATTAAAATCATGCCATCATTACTAATTATCGATTATAAAAGTAAAGTCCTTGTGTTTCGATTTTCACACATTATAATGAATCATCACTTTTATGAATGTGTCATCATGCTCTGACGTCTCATTTGGAAAAGAAAATCTTTTATTGTTGCTTGTAATAGAATGTGTGCTTAAAGTTACCGTTAAAATTTGTAATTTAATTTTTTATTTTTTAATAAAAAAAAAACAAACCTTCGCATCAAGTGATGAAATCATGAACAGATATTATTATGTTAGGGTTAAGGAAACCAACTAAGTGTTAACTATTGGCAAAATTTTGCTGGATTACTTTTAATAATTTTTAATAATAAATTCAAACAGAATTTTGAAAAAAAATGTTTTTTGTTGAACGTTTGTTTCAACTCTGTTCCCAACAAGAAGAAGATAAACAAAACAATGAACTTCAAGATGGTATTTATCAAGGAAAGACCATCCGAAAGGATTTTATTCTCAACTTGTTGATGGTAGGTTTTATTCATCACGAGCACTTTTTTCCAACAACAAATTATTATCTTTCCATTATCTTCATCATCATCATCATCATCATATTATATTATTTAATTTGGTGTTATCAAACAATTATTATCTTCATTATCATCATTGTTATTTATTATTAATTCTCACATGTGTGGATAGTTTTCGGGACAAGACCTTTACAAATTATTAGAACAAATACTGCTGAAGGAATATGATGGAGTTTTAGAACAATTAGTATCATTGGCTGTTGCTGTAGAAACTCCAACAATAACAACAACAATATTGAACAATAGTAACAATACAAATTCTTCATCATTATCATGGCAAATTCCATCCTCGGCCTCATCAAACAAAACAATTGAATTAATTTATTATAGCCTTGCAACTTTGGATGTTCTCTTTGAACAATTACAATTGGATACTAGTTGTTATATGAAGGAGGAACGATTGAAGGAAAGTATTGCTAAGCATCAAGCCTTCTTTATTGAACATGTTTGCAGTACAATTTTGTTCCCTTCCTATCATTCATCATCATCATCTTTATCTTCACCAGTTAATCATCATACAGAATTGTCTTTATCACAAGAGGAATTGACAATTTATAACGAAAAGAAGACTTCTGCCATGTTGGCCGTTCGATTGAATAAGAAGATACAAGCCACTGCTCTTCAAATTATCATTCGTTTCATGAGGGATCATTCAAGTGGCAATTTTGATTTACTCAAGTTTTGTACGGCATCACTAAAGAGAGGAATCTTGTTGGAAGATGAATCTTCATCATCATTGGTGGATGAGTTGACATTGGAAAATGTCATGCTCTTTTCTAAGTACTTGTTGGATGAGGAAAAATTATCTTCCAATGAGGTTGTGAAACAGTTTGGAAATGAATTATTCGACATTATGATTGAAAAGAGAGGAGTTTTGAGATTTGGAATTACATTGACTTCCTTTTCCATGTGGAGGATTGATTTGAAGGTTGCCGAACATTTGAGAAAATGTTGCTTTTTAAATTTAATGCCACACTTTGTGACTGCAGCTAGCCGAGAACATTTAACCCAAATATTGGACCTCATTCAAATAATGAATCAATCTGGAAAGCTTGACAATTCCATTCCACTTCTCGTTGATAAGGCCAGTAGAAAATCCCTGTTCGATCAATTACTTCAAGAATCTTACATGTTATTGTGCCAGTGGTATGATGAATTTTTCAGAATTGAAGGAAACTCCTTCATTGTCGATATGAGAACCTGTGAGTGGTTGTGGGAAAGCATTGCTGAATGTCTTGTGTGGCATGCTGAAAACTTTACAGGAAAGAGAGCTCTATTCTTGCTCAAGAGAATCATTCTCGATACCACCAATAATTATCCATACATTTCACATTCCGAACCAATATCCTCCTACTTGTCCTCTCCTTTCGTGTCGAAGGATGTAATTGAAAAGACAAAGGAAACAGAATCCAAGAAGAAAAAAGCCAAGAAAGGACCTAAGGAAGAAATTGTAGAGATCAAGCTCCACGATTCTCTTCAACACCAATGGAAAACATTTTTCATGATTTATGAAACACTAGGAAATCACTCCATTCACTTGATTACCCCAGTTTGGGGATTAGTTTTTGACCTCATGCCAAAACAAGGAACTGATAGAAATTACAATTATTTCATTGATCAGAGATTTGTCAAGATTTTGTGGATTAGAGCAATGACTCACGCCAATCTTGGTGTTGTAAAATTGGCTGTTCACTCAATGCTTGATGCCTACAAGACCATCCAAGATTATGTCATGGTTCAATTTGAAAATACCTTGTTGAGAAAGAATTTACTATTGGATAATACATTCATTTGTGGATCATTCATGGAGTGTGCTTCAAATTGCAAACTCTACACCACCAAGAAGGATAATATTGGAGAGAAGATTTTCCTCTTTTTTGAAGCATATTTCAATGCTTGTAAATCTCTGGGCATAGATGAATACAAGTCGAGCATTTGCACCTTCCTGACAAATTTTGGCTCCACTAGATGGTCCAGAATTGCAACATCCTACTTCTTGATCATTCTTGCGAGACTCAAATTGAGTGAGGAGGAAATTTTAAGCGTTGAAGAATTGGCTCTTCTTGTGGACAAGATTATCTTACAACAAGTGCCTGAGCAAAGTCTTTGGTTGAAACTGAGAATGTACAGTACCTCTTTGGAAATCATTTTAAATTGCTTTAGTTTTGAAAAGATGTGTAAGGAGGATTCGGAACAAACCATGGAAATTCTGGGAAGGTTCTTCTGCAGTGCAGCATGTGTTGATCCATTGGCCTATCTTTCAGATCCAGATACTACCAGAAAAATCAGAACTTGGTTAGGTAAGAGTCAAGAGCATGTCACATCCTTTATGCAAGGTCTCTTGAGAAAGATTATTGATGAATCAACATCAGACACTCAAGCTCATCTCTTCACTGAAAGATTTGCTACACTTTTATACTTTATAGATTGGAAGAAGGATCAAATGTCTCAGCAACTTGGCAACTTGTTAAAGTTTGATTGTTGTGAGTTTGCTGGAACACTTGGTAGTCTTTATACCCATACCCAAATGTCTCCTGTTATCAAGATTAGACTTTTGAATTTGCTTTCTTCCTTGTTGAACTCAAATCTCTTTGCAGATAGTCCTTGCAAGGAAGAAAATATTCTCTTGGCTCTATTCAGAGAAAACTTGATGAATCTCCTTTGCACTAGAAGTATTCTCGAAGAAGTTGTCATGTACATCAAATCGGAAATTATGTCTGTAGTTTGCACTAGCTTGGGCGATATTTCGTCGACCTATCATCAAATTCTCAGAGAGGGAAATAATTCCATTTTCATGTACTCTTCCTATGAGAGATTTAAAAACCTTATCAATGCTCTTCTTTCCATTTCACAAATGGCTTTCAAGAATAAGGACAATTTTGCATACTTTGAAAGAGAGTCCCTTTTGCCAATTATTAATCTATTGCACAATTCAGTCTTGAATTATTTCAGTTTACATTCACAAGATTTGATTGAGAGCATTGTAAACACTGTTGTAAGAGATTCAGAGGAAGGAGAATTGAGAAATCAACACTTTGGTGCTGCCACACTCTTTGTGAATAATATTACTTTGAGGGCTTTGTGTGTTTGTAAATTCTTGGCCCTCGCTGTGACATTTACTAGGAGTGGAGAACAAATCATGCAACTGTTCAATGTATTGCCTTCCATCTCTTACTATGCCATCAAATCCAGCTCGTATGGATACAAACAATTGTTGAACGAAGAATTGGATACTACACTCATGAAGCCAAACTTTTTAATTGCCTGCATTTCTGATATGAAGTGGGGAAGCTTGGAGTCGTTAGCTGCACTCATCTTCCATCAACCACTCAAGGTTGAAAATGCCAAGATTAGCGAATTGCTTGCCAGCAAGGAGGAATGCACACAATTTTTGGAACATTGCATTGATTGTTTGGATATAATGTCCAACGAATCAACCATCCTTGTTGTTAATGCATTGAAATATGTTGTTCATCACATGTTAGTACAAAACAGATTGGGAATGGACTTTATTTCATCTAGCCAACTCAAGAAGATCATTAATAGTACTTGGGGAATTTTGAAAGGCTCAACAGGATCAGAAGGAGGTTCTCACGGACACAGATACACCAATGAACATGTTAATATTGCATCCTTCTTTGAAATAATGTTAGATTTTGAAATTTGTAAGGATGCTTCATTGTATGCTGAATTGGGAATTTCCCAACTCTTTGAAAAGATTATTAATGAATATTCCAAGACTGTTGTAAAGGTAGGAACCATTCTAGGATTACAATTCATCAAATTGTTGGGTTCCAAGCAATGGAGAGACTATCAAGGGGATCAATCCAGAAAGCACTTGTTGAACGATTTCATGACTCTTATCTTTTATTGTCCAGAAGTTTCTGAAGATGACGAGTATGAGGAAACTGAGAAGGGTTTCAAGTCATTCCTTGCTCTCAGTCAAGAGAAACCAAATTACAGTAGAAATCTACTCTACACTTCAATGTTCCATGCAGTCAAGATTTTGAGAGTTGCCATGTTTTATATGGCTGACTCGATTGATGCCACTCTCGATAGATCATTCCTTTATGCATTGACAGATAGTCTTATTGATATTAACATTTCATCATTCTACATGAAGAAACAATCATGTATGCCTGGATCTCCAAAGCATTACAAAAAGCTTCGTATTTGGCAATTGCTTGGAATTCTTGCTCCAAAGATTGATTTTGAAATGCTTCAAGATTTGAAGCTTTTAGATGAGGATGGAACGGGTAGAGTTTGGACTTGCGTCTTTTCAGATAATCCACCATCTGTAAGAAAGATTCAAGAATTGTTTGCTCTTGTTCTTTTGCTCAAATTCCCAGCTATGGGCATCAAATCTCTGTTGCATCACTTGAGGGAGGATATTAACCAGAGACAACAATACATTGGTTCCGTTGTCTCACTGGTTGGTAATGTACTCATTTATGCATCAGAAGATTTATTGTTGAGTGATTCGAATATTGAAAAGGAAACCTGGCTTACCTTGTTGTTGAATGGATTGTTTGTCTACGCCACTTCTAATCATCACACTGTTAGAGTTATTACACATATCATGTTGAGAAATGTCCTTTATAGAATGGAAGAAATGTCCAACAAGAGAGGCCAAGAAATCTTGAAGAATAATGAACTCTTGAAACAAGTCTATCAATTCTTACACTCTGCTCAAAATATTCAAAAGTGGTTGAGCAAGTATGAGAGCTTGATTGTTGTAGATCCTGTTAAAAGCACCCAGCAATTATATCTCAGTTATTATTATGAAGGAACTAGTCTTATCAATGACAATCCTAATATTGATCATATGAGAGGAATTAAGGACAATTTTGATTTGATTATCTATTCACTCTTCTACTTGACTGGTCATGGTATTACAAAGACATCACTCTTGGTTGACAAATTATTTACACCTCAATTTGGTGTTAGTAGTATGACAGCAATTATGGAACCATTGTTGAAACGTGAACAAGTTATTCCAACATTGGGATCTATTGATGATTTTACCGCATCAGCTGTGGTTTCTCATGTGGCTGATAAAATGGTCAAGGAATGGGCAAGTGACTTTTTAGCTCCATCAAAATCTGCTGAGGAACGAAAGAATCCAAGTACCATGTTTTTCAAGGGAATTGCAAGTGTATTCGATTCATCTATTATCGACAAGTTTCGCGTCAAGTTTGGCTTGACTGATAATTCGGAAATGGAAATTGTTCAAATGGGAGAGCCAACAAACAATGAAGATGAGGAAAACAATCATTCTGAAGATGATGATAACACCACTCTCAACTTCCAAACCAAATTCGTTCCTTGGTCAGAGATGGAAATTCAAAATGAACTCAATCCAAGATCTCTCCTCCAACACAAGAACGGAAAGAGACAATCTATCATTGTTATTGCCTCACTCATTGACAAGATTCCCAACTTGGCTGGTCTTGCAAGAACTTGTGAAATTTTCAGTGCTGAAAAACTAGTTTTACCTCATATGAACGTGGTGGAAATGGAAGAGTTTAAATCCATCTCTGTGAGCGCCGAGCATTGGATTCCAGTGGAAGCTTGTCCACCAACAGAACTTGCTCAATATCTTTCCCAAAAGAGACAAGAGGGATACACAATCGTAGGCCTAGAACAAACCAGCACATCTGTTATGTTACCAGATTACGAATTCCCAGAAAGATGCTGTATATGTTTGGGGAATGAAAAGGAAGGCATGCCACCTGAATTACTGTCATTGATGGATACCTGTGTAGAAATTCCACAGTTGGGTGTATTAAGAAGTTTGAATGTGCATGTGAGTGCATCCATTATGATTTATAGATACACTGAGCAATTTTTAAGACGTAAATAGAAAATTAACAAATTTGTATAATTTACGCAAGTGTTTTAAAGGCCAATATGATCCAATGATTGGAAAGTGGAAATTTAGGTTGTGGAAGAAAGAATCGTTTGGGTTCCAACGAAATTGAAGATACATTTACACGAGGAGAAACATCATAGAGATTTCTTCAACCATCTCCTTGACCATAAATAACGGTCACGTTAATGCTTACTTATTCGAATTGACTCTTGTTTTCTTTGAAATTTGAAAATAAAATGTTCAAACCTTCAATTACTACTAACACTACTAGTAATTCAAACACACAACACCTTGCACATCATCACCACTATCATCAATCGAATAATCATTCCCTATTCGCTGAAAGTAATTCTAATCTCGAAAACAATCTCTGCTCCCTCCTCTTCAATAACTCTAATAAACTACCAACCATGAATCATCACCATCCACACCACCACCACAACTCACACCACGACACATTCTTTTCAACTGCCAGCAATCAACTTCTCGATTTGGAAGATATCATGGAAGACGAATATCAAGCTTTGAGACCATGTCTTCGAACTCATTCTACCAATCTAACTCTCCCCCCAAAAAAACAATATCTTGTAAAAACGAGACAGAAGCGAAAAATGGTTATTCCATCGAGTACTGATGCTACTCGCATAGTCATGAATACTTATTAGTAATCTAATGTGAAATGAAATGTAATCATATAACTACCATATAACTGAGAGAAATTGAGAATTTTTTTTTCAACTTGTAAATAGAACGTATCTATCCAATAATAAAAAAACCCATCTGTAATAATTGAAACTGTTCTTTTTTGGTGGTAAAAATCATCTTGATGGTTGATTCGGAATGTGATGGGCGAGAATAGCTTTAAAAAAATGAACAAAAACGAGTGGGTTGGTATTTGTTGCTGTGTGGTGGAAATAATTATTTTTATTGATGTGATGATTCATGATTACAACAATAGGCCGATAGGAAATATGTATTGGAATATGTTAAACAAAATGGATATGCACTTAAATATGCTGATTCATCTTTGAAAAAAGATAGAGAAATTGTATTGGAAGCTGTTAAACAACATGGATTGGCACTTGAATATGCTGATTTATCATTTAAAAAAGATAGAGAAATTGTATTGGAATCCGTTAAACGACGTGGATATGCAATTGAATATGCTGATTCATCATTTAAAAAAGATAGAGAATTTATATTGGAAGCTGTTAAACAAAATGGATGGGCACTTCAATATGCTGATTCATCATTTAAAAAAGATAGAGAAATTGTATTGGAAGCTGTTAAACAAAATGGGTGGGCACTTGAATATGCTGATTAATCATTTAAAAAAGATAGAGAAATTATATTGGAAGCTGTTAAACAAAATGGATGGGCACTTGAATATGCTGATTCATCATTTAAAAAAGATAGAGAAATTATATTGGAAGCTGTTAAACAAAATGAATTGGCACTTAAATATGCTGATTCATCATTTAAAAAAGATAGAGAATTTATATTGGAAGCTGTTAAACAAAATGGATATGCACTTAAATATGCTGATTCATCATTTAAAAAAGATAGAGAATTTATATTGGAAGCTGTTAAACAAGATGGGTATGCACTTAAATATGCTGATTCATCATTTCTAAAAGATAGAGAATTTATATTGGAAGCTGTTAAGCAACATGGACGAGCACTTCAATATGCTGATTTATCATTTAAAAAAGATAGAGAAATTATATTGGAAGCTGTTAAACAAAATGTACGAGCACTTGAATATGCTGATTCATCATTTAAAAAAGATAGAGAAATTATATTGGAAGCTGTTAAACAAAATGGATTGGCACTTGAATATGCTGATTCATCATTTAAAAAAGATAGAGAATTTATATTGGAAGCTGTTAAACAAAATGGGTTGGCACTTGAATATGCTGATTCATCATTTAAAAACGATAGAGAAATTATATTGGAAGCTGTTAAACAAAATGGATTGGCACTTGAATATGCTGATTCATCATTTAAAAAAGATAGAGAAATTATATTGGAAGCTGTTAAACAAAATGTACGAGCACTTGAATATGCTGATTCATTATTGAAAAAAGATAGAGAATTTATATTGGAAACTGTTAAACAACATGGATCAACACTTAGATATGCTGATTCATCATTTAAAAAAGATAGAGAAGTTGTTTCGGAAGCTGTTAAACAAGATATATTGGCACTTAAATATGTTGATTCATCATTTAAAAAAGATAGAGAATTTATTTATTTGCTATTTAAATTGAACAAAGAAAATGCAAGAAAGTTCTCACCTTCTATATCCAAAACCATTGAAGAATGCTTAAATATTCAGACAAAACTGTCAAGCAATATAATTGAAAAATACTCCAAAATATTTATGGCT